CATATAGTCATGGGACGTGGAGTAGAGTGTGGGAATGGAGTCAATGGAATTGTAATAGATAAGCATGATATCGGGGGTGGGAGGGCAGTAGATGGGGGAGAGGGGTTGTTTCTGTGTGAAGGGTGAAAAGGATAATTATTGCATTGTTCTGTACACCTGAAACTAACAATAATTAATTAATTAATTAATTAATTTTTAAAAAAACCTTAAGAAATTAAGCTTACATGGGTGGAAAAAAGCCTCTAAAATATCAAAGCTGCTCTGCAGGACTCTCATTAAAAGATCCAACCAGCTATTGCTCTTTATTAAAACTCTGAAAATCATTTTCCTGCCTCTGATATTTATGGAGAATTCCTAAGGCTCTTATATGCTTGAGACCATGGTTTTCTTCTCTACAGACAAGGTGGCAGTATTTTTCTCTCTCCTGGGAGCCTATTAGAGGTTTTTGGCAGTCCCTGTTAACTCTTTCTTTACTCTTTCCCTCTTAATGTGTTTTATTTATGAATTGGTCAAACTCAGAAGAAAAAAATGAAAGTTGATAGGGCTAAAAGTATCTTAACTTGAAAATTACTGGCAACAAATGTCTTAATCTATGGAACTCACACACAAATATAAATTATGTATAATTATGGTGTTTTGGTGGCTATAGAGTAGCATAGCAACATAAGTCACTCCTAACACAGGTAGGCATTATAAAGAGAAATGCTATTTGCTCTTAAATGTATGTATTAATACGTTTTAGCTTTCAAAAACGGGACAAACTATTTCAAAAACAAAAAAGTTTTAATGCACTCTAACTAGATTGATGCATATATTGATAGTATAGAGATTGTCTTTATATCTGATTTCACAGTTCTAATGTTTGCCAAGTTAAACTCTTTAAAATGTGACTTGCCTATTCTTACATATTGGGTTGTCGGAAAAGTCATGACGCATTTTTGCAATGAAAAACGTAGAAAAATATGTGATGACTTTTCTGACAACCCAATACAAGTTGTGATTTTGTCCTACTTAAAACACAAGAATCATCCGGTTGGGGGCGAGACCTTTCGGCCCCACACCGCACTCGCCACCCCAGAGTTACTTTGCCGGGAAGAGGAGTACTATGATAGCTGGAAGTAGAAAATAGTGAGGACTCTCTTTGCTCAACTCGGTGAGGCTGAGGGTAGCTGGAGAACCAGTGGATCCGGCAAACCAACTCACTCGCTGGTGAGCACTCACCCAGTTCCTGGTGGACGGAGTGGCTTTGTGAGCGGGGCCCAGGAGCCTGCAGGAAGGACTGAGTGCTTTTGGTGCGGGAGCTGGAGGTTTTTGGGACCATTGTTCCCCTGGTGTGGAGCTTGCACACGAGTAGTACACAGGAGGGCACCATTTTTTTCAGGGCTGGGCCCTCCCACAGAGGCTCAGTTCTGGGACTGCATTGGTCTGCTTGAATTGGTGCAGGAGTGCGTGTGTGAATGCGTGCTTGTGTGCATGCATGCACATGCAGCCTTGTATCCTTACCCTCCATACTGTTTGTGCTGCGTAGCCAGGGAAATGCCTGTCAGGCACGCTCAGACTCCAACAGACTGCTTATTGAGACCCGGAAGTGCGCGACTTGCCTTAGGTCCCTGATTTCCACACTGCGCGTGCAGAGTTCCCTGGGTGGCGATTGACTGTCAAGCTGTTCAGCCTGATCTTTGAGCAGCTGATTGGGACAGGCTGAGACAGGGAGTTTTCCTGGGAGTGTAGGGCCAGGAGCTGTGTGCCTGCGTGATTTGGCCAGGGCTTTCCGGGCGAGTTTGTGTAGGCTGGCTGCCGATGCAGGAGTGCACGCTGCTCTGACCTGGTGGGAGCCACTGACCACATCCTGTGGTGCCTTGGGGGCCTGCCCCGCACACCTAGAGCTGTATTGCCAGGGGCACCCTGAGTCCCTAGTCCCTGGCTCCTACCTCCGCAGGCCATAGAGGGTTTTTTGCAGCAGCAGACAGCCCGCAAAAACCTGTAAGGATATTTGGTGGTGGGCATGGCTACAGATCATACAGCAACTAATTGTGGGAAGCTTACTTCAAGTCTAGAGGGAGGTCGACACATGACGTACTGTGCCCCTCCCCCCAACAGCTGGTGCTGAGTCGCCCAGAATCTCTATTGCTGAGCAACTGGTCTGCATATTAAAGCGGGCAGATAGCCCCTCCCCCCTTGTTTTCTTTTTTCTTTTTTCTTTTCCATTTTTCTCTTTTTTCTTGTGTGTGTGTGTGTGTGTGTGTNATATAACCTCGGGACATGGAGTAGAGTGCGGGAATGGATTCAATGGAATTGTAATAGATAAGCATGATATCGGGGGTGGGAGGGCAATAGATGGGGGGAGGGGGGTTGTTACTTTGTGAGGGTGAAAAGGGTAACTATTGCATTGTTCTGTACACCTGAAACTAACAATAAAAAAAATAAATGAATAAATTTTAAAAAATTCATTTATACTGCATATGTAAAAATGTACCTATCATCCATTAAGTAATTCAACTCTACAAAGGCATTCCTAAGTCGGTGATATAATGATACAGAGAAAATACTACTTATGGTATTTCTCAAATTGTCAGCTTTAATGTTCTGCCATATTGAATTTCCTGAAGTTAAGAAAAATGAGGTTTTATAAGACATTGCACATAGTAGTATACAATATTAGTTTATAATAACAATTCTCTAGCAAGCCTCTTAATGAAACAAGGACCTACAGAGTATTATAAAAAGCATACATATACAGAAATACATCTCCAATAACCAAAAGTTTC